GTGAAAGAATATTTGACAGAGACTGTTGGTCATAAACAATCTCTATCTTCAAAGAAAAAATTTGCAAACCCTTGCTCTAGCGTGCTTCTGGATGTAAGATACATTCACAGAACAATGAGAAACGCTGAATGCCTTAAAAGGAAATTTGCATTATATGCAAAATCCATTAGAAATAAAAATACTAAATATGAAAGTCTTTAAAAGTTGCTCATAATTCCATTTTGTAACAGATATGAATACACAGCTTATGTAATGTTCTGCATAAGGTAAATGGTGTTACATTGCTAACTCACAATCTGGTGTTGGATAACTATAGTCATTCAAATATGAAAAAATTAGAATTTTCCTCCTATATAATAGATGTTGAATTTCTTTTACTAATCAGATCTCTGTGAAACAGAGAAAACAAATAATTGTCCATTTTATGTGCATAGTGTCAAAGAGCTCAATGGAGTATATAAGTCTGTCACAATCAAAAAATTCAAAACTATATTTCTTTTACTCAAATATGGGTAAATCCTTATATACAACTTCTCCCAAAGTGTTTTTAGTTGCTGGTGTTAAGATTATTCATCTGTCTCTAGAATAGGACTTTCATAGAAGTTTGCTTTCCATCTCCTCAGGTCACAACATCACCTTGTACATTAAAACGGTCAAATTTGTATAAAATTAAAAGTTTAACCACATATTTTTTAAAAATCTTTCAAATAGTCACTAAACATAAACACAGCTATCATGTCCACTGCTACTTTTACAAATTTTAACAGAAGTTGTAATAAATACTAGATGACTATTGTAATATGCCATTTACCAGAAGTGGTATGGAAATTACCACTCCACAAATTATAGCACTTCTAGAAATTATACAATATTTTTAGTATATTATAAGACACTGACAAAAGTTTGTAAGACTAACATTGAAAATTCAGAACTCCTAGTGTCATCAAATATTTTACATCAGTAATCTTTAATAAGGATTTGACCTAAAGAGTCCAGTTTATTGATTTATTCTTTTTATCTATCGGAAAGTTTGAATATAACACTGCAATAGGTCCATTTTTTTTTCAGGAATGAGATATATTTGCTCTATCAGTTTTGAGTATTTTGAAAATTTAGGTTTAAATAATAGAATTTGAAATACGAGCAGTATATCCACTGTTGTTATGAACAAAAGAGGTAATATAAAAACAACTAAACTGTCATTTTTGATAGGAAAAATGTGTCAGTTCTGATTTCAAGAATGGGGGGAAGAAACGCTATAGCATCACTTATATTAACACTGATATCAAAAGTAAGGAATAAAAACTGTAAAAACTGATGTAGTTAAATATTTTTGAAGGCTTTTACAGTATCATTTTAATTATTCAAGAGTTGTATAATAAAAATATTACCCCTGAAGATTCTGGCAGGACTTGGAACAAATATCAACCAAATACTTTATCCAGGGGTAAAGTTCTTTCATATACTTTTGACATCATTTACTCAAAAAGACAGGAGGAGTCAGCTCATGTTAATTCATTATCTTGAGCTATCAGAAAGGGAGATAAGAACTTGGTGACAGAAGAGACGTAGTAGGTTACAGGGCATAACTGACATTACAGTTTGAACCTCAAGAAACCAAGAGTAGGTGACCTGACAAATTTTCAACACCACGTCCAAAACTGACAGGAATCAGTCACCTTTACTCATTAATTTTTGCCTATCTTGGACCACACACAGCCTTTATAACCTCATCAGAATTGTAAGCAAATCAACTGACAATACCAGTATGCCATTTCTGTATTATTTTCTAAGAATGCTTAGAATTTACCAAAAGCCATAGTTAGATGTATAGATCAAGGACCAGAAATTTTTTTCTATGAGAGGTCAATAAATTAGGCTTTTAGGCTATATGGTTTCTTTCAATCAATCAGCCACGCCATTGCAGCATAACAGAAGTTTAGATAGTAAATAAAAGAATGGTGTATCTGGGTTTCAATAAAACTTCATTTACAGAAAAACAGGTAGCCACTGTATTTGGCTGCCAAGGCACAGTTTGTTGACCCCTGGTATAGACTATAAAGTAATAATAAACATTCAGTTTAAGAAATAAAAATTAACACTTGAAGCACTTGTGTAACCTTCTCTAACCCCATTCCCCGAGGAGCAACAACTATTGTAAATTAGGCCAATATTACTTGGTCATATACATGTAACAATGAAATTGTTGAGTCAACGTGCCTTTACAAAATCAACCTTATAAAATAGTGCAAAATTATACTTCAAGGGGTATCAACTTACATTCTCACTAGAAGTTTCTTTTTTTTACATGTTTATAGCCACCTGCACATCCCTCATCTGCACAGTAGTGATTTTGTCTTTTGTGTGGAATTGTGTTTTCCTTGATTGGTAGTTTTTTGTGTAATGTGGATATCAACTTTTTTTTGGTCAATTACTGGTATTAGAAATACATTTTTCCAGTCTGAGGATGAACTTTTCACTTTTATTGAAATTGTGGAAAAATACACATAACACATAAATTTCCATTTTAACCATTATTAAGTGTTAAGTATATTCACAGTGTTGCAGTGATCGCCAGAACTTTTTCATCTTGCAAGACTGAAACTCTATACCCATTGCACACCTCCCCATTTCTCCCTCACCCCAGCCCTTGGCAACCAACTACCATTCCACTTTCTGTTGCCATAAATTTGACTATTGCAGATATTTCATATAAGGGGAATCAAACAGGTGTTTTTTGTGACTTGCTTATTTTATTTAGCCTATCGTCCTCAAAGGTACCCCCGTGATGCAGTATGTCTGAATGTTGTTTTTAAGGATGGAATGATATTCCACTGCATGTATATGCCACTTTTGTTTATCCATTCATCTGTCGATGGGCACCTGGGTTGTTTCCACCCTTGGCTCTTTCGAATAAAGTTGTTTTGAACTCTTGCTTTCCACTATTTTAGATATATATCCAGAACTAGAATTGCTGAATTATGGGATATTTCCGTTTTTAATTTTTTGAGGAACTGCCATAACCAGTGACACCATTTTACATTTCCAGCACTGGACAACATTTCCAATTTCTTCACATCCTTACCAACGTGTTATTTTTTTAATCTTATTTTTGGCAAGTAGCCATCCTAATGTGTGTGAGGTGTTATCTTGTGACTTTGATATGCCCATTTAAAAACTGGCTTATGTTTTTCTTGTTGAATTCTAGGAGTTCTTCAGACACTCTTGATACAAACTCAACATACATATGATTTGCAAATATTTTCTCCCTATCTTTAGATTGCCTGCTCATTGTTTATTATGTTCTTTGATGCACAGAAGTTTTAATTTTGATGAAGTCCTACTTATTTTTACTTTTGTTCCGTGTGTTTTACTGTCATCTCCAACAAATCATTCCCAAACTCAATGTCATGGAACTTTTCCACTGTTTTCTTCTAACAGTTTTATAGTTTCAGTTACTATTATGCCTTTGGTTCATTTTGAGTTAATTTTTGTATATGGTGTAAGGATAAGGATTTAACTTCAGATTTTTGCATGTGGTATCAAGTTGTCACAACATGATCTGTTGACAGGACTGTCCTTTCTCCCATTGAACGGTTGTGGCTCCCACGTCAAAATCATTTGGCCATACATGTGAGGGTTTATTGTCTGGACTAGAGATTCCCTTCCCTTGATCTGTATGTCTGTGTGCGCCAGTACCACTCTATAATGTAACTTTTACCACTGGCCTGCTTAAAATTAATCACTCACTTTAAAACTGTAGCTTATCCTGCCCTTTCAATAATCCCAGGCCCCTGTGTGTACTTATCCTTTTCCGTAGCTTTTGCCATCTTCTAACATGCCATGTAATTTAATCACTTCTTATGTTCGATGCTTATTTATATTCTCTCCTTCCTGGAATATAAGCTCCAAAAGACAGGGATCTTTATATCCTGTTTACTAATATATTCCAAGTGCCTTAGTTAGCATTTGGCCTAGAACAAGGACTCGGTATTAAAAAGGAATAGCCCACCATGTGTCATTGTTCTAAGAGATTGATATGCACTATATAAATGAATCCTCACAAGAACCCTGGAACGGAGGTCCTGTCATTGACTATGTCTTCAAGAAAGGATATAGTGCAAGCAAGTGCTTAGTGCAACAAAATGGCTCAGTGACTCATAAAGGTCACAGAGCGAAGGAAGTAGTGGAGAAGGGTATAAAATCAGTCAGGTTATTGACTGTAACTGTCTCCCCTGAAAGAAACAGTTGTATAAATGCAGTCAAGACAATGACAGAAAAGGCACAGGAAAATTTCCACCATAAATAGTAAGTAAAAAAGCCATTACTCATTCAAAGGATCACCTGGATCTGATACGCCTTTCTGAAGCTCATGAGTATTTATAAAACAGTCTTTTTTTTTAGAAAAGAAATAAGGCTTCAGATAACCACGTTTTTCAAAGTTAGACTTCCAATATAGGTGCACAAATTAAATCTTCACCACGGTTAATTTATCTTCTTTGACTCCCACTTGAGCTGCTGTTGAGTTGAAGACAACAGCTTTGTCAATTCCCAGTTCAGTATTTCCTTACATTTTCTCAGTTAAGGAGTCTCATATTGCAAATATGAATAAGAAAGTCACTTATTTTATGAATAAGAAAAATCACTTAGAGAAGCGTGGCTTTTCGAAGAAAATTTTAGAGCTCACTCTTAGTAAATAGGCCATCCGAATGGCGGATGTACACCAGCCCTGATGCATTTGCACTGTAAGAGTCAGAGCCTCCCATTTCAACACTTTCAAAGTTCTTCATTCTGTTATAGCACTGACTGTGCAGACATGTCATTTTTAAAAAATGAGTAAGGAGAAAGCATATATGAGCATCTTATTAGAATTTGTGGAAGCAATGAATGTCTTCATATTCTTTTGCCAATAAATGTTCCTCCAGAAGAACAAATCATGCCACGATTAACAGGTACATCATAGGACACTAACATAATGAGAATAGAGAGAGAAATCATACCTTCTATCAATAGCTCCTGTCCATGACTGCCAAGAAGTGTGCGGGACAGGAATGGCGCAAAGTCGACAAAAATTTCACGAAGCAGAGGAGCAACTTTTTCTAAAGCTCTTTCAAGTTTTGCAGTGATGCTGTTGAGATTAAGACAGAAAGACTAGTAAATACAACTCAAGACAAAACGTCAGATAATCTTTATTTCTGAATTAAAATCTTTAAAAATCACAACGGTCCAATTTCAACCCACGGCCTAGTCACAGCTTCGTGTAGAAGGGACGCCTGTGCAGTTTCGCCTCCATCATCAGGCTACCCCGAAGGCGGGATAAACGAGAATGACGACACATTGAAGAGGGGCTGGGACTTGGGAACCTGCAAGGGCCACCGACTGCTCATGGCTCAAGGGGCGCCAAGAGATGTCCTTGTATGTCTTCTTTGTCTGTCCTTCTATCCAGCAAGGAAAACTGTTTCTGAACACCTACTACGTGGATCACTGTGCCAGTTACAAAGAACTAACCCTTGTTCTCAGGAGTTCCCTAAAAGGTTCCTGAAAAGCTGGACAAAGAAGGGAATAATTGGAAGTCAGTGTCAGACAGTTTGAATTGCTTTGCCAAAGTAGGTATTTTCCATTTCATAAGCCCACTTGCTTTTATTTACCAATCTCTGCATTATTATTTATATTGTTCACTATTACCTTTAGGTTATATGACCTTACATAAGCACCGTTTTGACATTGTTGAAAATACTTCAAGTAGTATATGTTGAAGAAAAAAAATATGCATAAACAAAATTACTCCACTCAGGCAAATGAGTAATCTGGTAACATCTGCCTGTCACTCTTAGAAGTACTGGAGTTAAGACTGAATGGACTGGAATGCTGGTTCCCCCCATGTTACCTGGGTGACAGTGAGGCTTTACATTCCCCGTGCCTGCAAATGACGATGATTTCAGTACCTGCCTGGTGAGGATGAAAGGAGCTAAGGCGTGTACGTGTGCACAGAAGAGCACCGGGCCCTCAGTGAGAGGTCAGTAATGGCAGCTCGCATAACTGCTACTTTAAATAAAACAAACTTACATGTACTCATACAAAATGTGACTCTGATATATTTTTAAAAAATCAATAATAATATAATGTTGGCTAAACACACGTTCCTCTACACAGAAGACATGTACAGAAAGGAATTAAACAAACACTTCAAAATAACAGAAGTTCTGCCATGACGCTAAGTGACATTTTTGTTACATATGAGGAAAATATAAATAATAAAAGGTAATTGATCATAGAATAACTTGCAATAGGTAACTAACATTTTAAAACCAAACTGCTACCATCTTTCTTAAGTGATTACACAGAGATGAGAGAATCATCCCGGATGCCCTTCCTAACTTGGAAACAGCATGACCCAAACCCTTTGTGAGCTCAGAGCCTCACCATCGGCACTTACATGTCACCTTGTCTTCTCTTATCTGGGTCAACAACTTTAAGAAAGAGAACTCAGAAGGGAAACTCAGGTT